TGTCTTCCAGGCGGAGATCACAGCAATAAAAGAAAGCCTAGTGGTATTGACAAAAAGTGTGCTCACAACAAGGAGCATATATGTAAGTATATATACACGGATTAGCCAAGCGGCCTTGAAATCACTCAAGTCTCTAATGGTTTCATCCAAGCTAGTGAAAGATTGTCTTGATCTATTAGAGAATCTGACATCCTACTTCACAATAAACCTGCAATGGGTTCCAGGCCATAGCGATATTCCTGGTAACTGCGAAGCAGGTGAACTAGCCAGAACAGGCACCACTTTGCAACTAACCCCTGAAAAAGAGGGTATCTTTATGCCTCTGGCAATTTGCAAACACTTAATCAGCGAACATGCTATAAATATAACTGAGTCTCAGTGGAGACAATCAATAACCTGCACAACGAGCAGACTAACGTGGCAGGAATGGAGCGTGAGTCGCACAAACCGACTACTAAAATTTAAAAGGAATGATATAAGAACTCTGATATTAGTACTAACAGGTCACTGCCTAATTGGTAGACATGCAAGTAGGCTAGGTGTACCATACAACGACTATTGTAGAGGCTGTCAAGAAGTAGAGGAAGAGGAGACTGTAAAGCATCTTCTATGCGAATCTATATAGGAAAAGAATCGCAACTATCGGTCATGGATTCCTTGACGACGTATCAGAAGTTGCTAATATAAAATTATTTGTACTGATGAACTTCATCAGGAGCACAGGTTGGTTCAGAGATGAGACGATAGAGTGAGGGAACATTAGTCCTGGTGGTATCACAATGGGCCTCCTATAGGCCTAGGTGCGTTATTGGACAGCCACTCTACCTACCTACCTACCTTTCCTACAGTTGGCGTTATTTCTCTGTCAGATGGCATTAGAAAGATGACATTTCGTACTAAAAAAGATTTTCTGACAGTTTTGTGATTGATTGATTCAGTTTTGTTTGAGCGCGAGTCAAAGATCGACACTAACAAGGAGAATTTAGCTATATTTTACAGTTTTTCTCCGATAAGTGCGAAAACGCAAGCCAGGCGGCTGAAAATGTGAAAAACATTCATGGTCCTGATACTGTAACAGCCAATCATACGCAATTTTGGTTTCGTCGATTCCGTTCCGGTAATTTCGATGTCAAAGATGCATTACGCTCTGGAAGACCAATTATTGAAAAAATCGATCAAATAATGGAAATCGACGAGTTCAAAAATCGATTACAATTGTCCAGGACCTACCCATTGCACAAAAAACCGTTTTAAACCATTTGAATAAAGTTGGATACGAAAATTAATAATTAAAGCATTCGATTTCATGAAACAAAATGGATTTCTTTTTACTTAATTACGCTTAATATTATCAAATAGGTTTATTTATTTATTGTAAAATAAAATAAAATAATATTTTATATAAATTTTCATTTACAAAAAAAAAGACATACAACAAAAACTGAAATAAACTCATTAAGTGCAGTTTTGCTCGTAAAAAGTAAATGGCCTAAAATTACATTATTTATTATTTGGTCCAAAGACCTTTGTGTTAAATTACATTTTTTATACGTCTCGTCAACTAAATTTTCTATTATTTCCTTAGGTATGCTTTTATATTCGATTGTACTCTCTTCCATAGCTCATCCGTGATACTCGGCGCTGTTCGGTATATGCACAATCTCCTCTTTACAATAGCCCACAAGTTTTCAACCGGTTTAAGGTCGAAACTTCGTGCTGGCTATTGGATGAGTTGAAATCGTTGACATTGGCGCCAGTGAGTACCGATTTTGGCGGTGTGTTTCATATCGTTATCCTGTTGAAAAACGATATTTTCCTTACCACTTAGCTTTTGAATCAACCATTTGGTATACGGGGGTTGAGTTTATACCGAATCTTGAGGTATCGTCTCTCTTGCTCGTATTGCGGACAATGGAACAACGTATGCTCTACATTCTCAATTGTCTCGCAACCACAATTATCGCATATATAATAATTTCCGTGTTGAAAGCGTTTCAAATATGCTTGGAAACAGTCATGCCCTGTGAGAATTTGAGTTAAATAAAAGTATTGGGAATCAGTCGAAACGTCCGACGTCCTTTTAGACTGATTTCCCATCGTCTTTGCCAACTCTCCACCGTCTCTGCTCGAGCATTTCCTTTACCGGTTCTGAGTGGTTAGTCCATGACTGACTTTTTAGTCTCTTTGGCTAAGAGATCTAATGGGTGTAAGCCCGCAATTACAAGGGCAGCATCTTCTGACACTGTATAAAAAGCTGAACATACTCTGAGTGGGCAAGTGGCATAAAAGGAAAAAGTCACGTCAATAAGATTTGGTTTCGAGTGCCCATATCTCGGCGCCATATAGAGGACGGACTTCAGGTATTAAGCATCATTTGGGTTGAAGCTCTACATGTTTTCGAAAATTTTTCGCAAGTGTAGGCTAAGTGTTCTTTAAAGAAAAGTCTTGATCAAGAACAATTCCTAAGTATTAAAGTGCTGGTTGTGTAGTTATACAAGTACTAACACCTTTTATACTGAATGTAGCAGTCTTTCGAGTTTTTCTGACTAATTGAAGATATTGTTACATATTTTGATTTTGATTTGTAAATGATCCTTGTGGTACACCACCGGCGAATTCATATTCCTTATAGCCATAGCATATGCAGAATTCTTTCATTAAAGTAACTTACGATTATTTTGTAAACTTTTTGGGCAGTCATAATGCTATACCAAGATGCTGGGTTAAAAGTATTTTTAACGTCGAGTGTTACGACCTTGCAATATTGCATTGTGCCGCCCTTCCTTGCTTTTCTGAATCCAAATTGATTCTGGGATAAGTCGCCAGCGTCATCGATTGCTTTGTTTATGCGTTGGTGTATAATTCGCCCAAGGATTTTTCCAGCGGAGTCCAACATGTACATTGGCTGGAAATGGGAGAGGTCTGTTGAAGACTTGTTTGGTTTTAGCAGTAATATTAGATGCTGCCTTTTCCATAGCTTAGCGAAGTTACCTTCTATAATGCATGTGTCATACATAATTCGGAAGGGGTCTGTGTTCTAAGTAATCGCTGTTTTCAGCGCTATATTAGGGATTCCATCTGAACCTGGGAGGCAAATACTTGTAGCAACTATAGATATTAACATCACTAATTGTTGCTCGAACAAAGCCATTTAAAGGTTAAGGGTTTTCCTGCTGCGGAGAGTTGTATTTCCATATAGCCGTTTTATTCCTAGAATTGCCCGACCAGTTGGCACCTTCAACGATTTTATAGCTTCACTGAGTAAAGCCACACCGATCTGCCACTCAAGAATTGACTGTTTTAATAGGTCATGTACTGATTGACAGTGGTTTAGGTTAAGTTATAAACACTTCATATTCATTTTTGTGTCTGTGCCGCTTTCTTGTATATCGAGCATCTGACTCCCAATGTATGTATGTAAATATGTATGTATGGATGTATGTACATTAAATCTTGAATTCATCTTAATTTTAGTAGAGACCGCTTTTGGCTATTGAAAATTGCTAAAAACTAGAACCTTACATCTTAGAACTTAGCTGCAATTTCGTAAAGAATGTGGCAACTTTTTGCACTCAATTTATAAATTTTACAATACAAGAATTTTCATACTTTTTTGCATGCACTGCATGTGGCGTCTTACTAATGTACAATGGTCCACATAAATATTTCGCACAACACCTTTTACACATAAGTTGTACATTTGTAGTGTATTTCTTACGATCTCATACTTGTTTTTATATGAAAAAAATAGAGAAAAGAATAAGCAACAACACCCATATCTATGAAATAAATTACATTGAGTTTTTAGAGCTCATAATGTTTGGAAAGGATAATTTAGTCGACGTATTGCTAGAAAATAACTTGAAACAGATAGCTGCAAAGATTTAGTAATGGTTCTAGAAGGTACATAGCTAAAATAATGGAATATATATTGCCTATAGATGACAAAATGAACAGGTAGATTTATTTGGCCATTCTTAAAATAAGTGTACATTCCAATTATAAAAAATATATGTATACAGAAAAACCGGGGATTGTTCCAACATGACATTGACCTAATTGTGCTGTTAAAATGCGGATCATTTCCAATATAAACCAACATAAACCCGATAGGTAATATATGAATCTACCTCAAGGATAAAGTTTGGGAATATGAAATTTCAAAAAGTTCTTTAAAGGCCTTTGACCGCGAAACTTTGTTGAAGCTGGTAAAAGCTTAGAGGCTGATTGCAGTTACCAGGGATACCAATTTGTACAATACAGTGTATTAATGATGCCTCAAAAGCAACAGTATACATACGTACTCGTATATGGTATGCTTGAAAAAGTATCATTTAATTTTTATACAATTAAAGAAATAAATAACTGTTTACACACCTTTTTTTATCAGAACTAGTTGTATATTAAGCCCCGCCTTACGGTATTATTTTGTATTTATTATTACTGGGGTTGTAATGTTGTCCGAGATTAGATGCTTTGGCACGAATACTCGTATGTCTATGGTAAGTGCATGCACTCGCAACAATGTCGACGCAGCGTCGACAATTCCGCAAAACTTATTTCGTTTTTAATTAAAAGACAGAAATTGCTCAACGCCAAGTACTTAGAGAGTAAATAATACAGAGGAAATCCATTTCCCATCGGACAAACACCAACAATTCATATACAAACCAACTAAGGGCGACAAATATTTCTTGGAGAAAATAAAAATGGGGAAGGTAAAGCAAAGGGCTACTTAGTGAAGTAAGAAGAGGGACGTTAAATACTTACAATGATGAATGTGTTTGGTTTAAACAGTATGTACAAAAGTATTTTTCAACCAATCAAAATTTCACGTAGAATATTATTTATTTAACAGAAAGATAATTATAAATAATTATATAACAGTTTAAAAGCACTATTAACGAAGGCTATCAGCCTTTCAAGTAGAACAAATATTAAATAAGCTATGAACTTTTTCTTCACTCATCAAACTCAAATATCGCCGGGAACTGTTGTAGAAGCTATGAATTCAATGACATTTAGGAGACGAACAATTTAACTACATAAATGCACTTTCAAATGCATTTCGAGTTTTAAAACCAGGTGTAGTATATATACAAAATTATATAAAAATGATTTCTCTGTACACTCACAAATGACATTACAGAAATATAATTAGAGCCAAGAGGCGACCAGCCTCTTTAGAAACCAAACTGATTTTTAGAACCAAAACTGCTGATACTAGTGGGAGCCAAGTCCGGTAGGAATGAACTTCGTATCTAAATTAATGAGCTACAGAATACATGAAGTTCTTTGCAGAGCAATCTGGTACGTATTAAATCATATAGATTAGCTGTATTTGTATAGCTCCTAACTTATATTTCAAATTTAAGTTTTAATTCCAATCAAACAGAAACGCGGAAGTCATTATAGTTGATGTACGGGAGGATCATATGGACATATTTCATTAATTTTTAGCACCATTGCGCCATGTTTGTAAGACAAGAAATTTACTTAATGCCACTAAAACATTTCAGATATAAACCAATTTATTCGGTATAGAATGAAAGAGAGGGATGAAAATCGTTAAGGATATGGAGGTTAAAATAGAGTATATGTACGGATCTTATTATTTTTTTTACGTCAAGTCACATTTTAGTCAGATACAGTAACCGATGTACATGATATAAAGTTGAAAATGCATCTATTGGGTATAACTTGGAAACTGTGGACTGATTTCTACCTAATTTTATTAAGATATTATCCACGTAATTGTTTATATACCCGCCTATGTTAACTATTTACAAAACAAAAAAAAGAACAAAAGTCATTGTAGAATGATGGTGCTGCGGTAAACAGCCGATTTCACTAATTTCTCAGCAGAAAAATATGCCAGTACATTAAAATATTTTAAAATTGACAAATTTTTCCGGTACAAAGTTACCCTTAGGCACTGAGAGAAACATATTCGGTATCTGGGGCTTTGAAAAGGTATAGCCTAATTTCAGCCCCTTTGTTATGCGAGTTAGTCGGCCCCACTACGTCGCTTACTCCATCACTCATTCTGACTGAACAATTGAACTGAAACAATTGAAATTAATTAATAATTAAAAGTATCGTTTTCCGTACGTAATTGACAGTATCCTTTGTTCAGATTTCTAACTTTGAATACTTATCTAATAAAAGCAAAACAGATAATTAGAATAAGTATGATAAGACAAGAATTTCGAATTTTTTATACACTTTTGTTATCAAGTCAAATTTACTGTTTCGCTACAGGTAATTTATCGTAAACATTTAAATTATTTTATTTACTTACAGTGAATTCGTATCGTACCCACTAGTGATGTTATTTTATAAAATTATTCACGAATCCACTGAAAAATTACAGTTAACATATAGAATGATCAGCTCCTGAAATATTAATATCAATACGGAATATTAAAAACTGTAAGACGCAAACATCCGAAGTGACTTTCCTTTTATTTTTCACTTAAATGCAATAAATGGATCGATATAACATGATAATAAAATTGTGTTAGTAAAGTTAATAATTTTAGGTCCACAGTGGAAAAAATTGTTTGGCTGAAAATAAAAATACTTGCCTCAAGACAATTTTTGAGAGAGCCAAATATATTTCTTTTGAAATTAAATTCTTGAATCAAATGTTAATTTTTTGTTTAAAGTTTATAATTCTTAAAACGAGAATTTACTTGCTACCTGGCAAGTAAGATTACCCTTTAACCAAGAAAAAAATTCTTGTGACAAGAAAATTTCTTTTTTGATCTTTAAATAGTCCCCACCCCAAACTCTAAAAGTGAAAGTGGGGCCTCAGTTTAAATTTATGTAGATGAAGCCAAGACAAAAATATTTTTCACACAAGGAAATTTACTTAAGCCAAGACACAAGTTTATTAGAGCAAGAATCTAAAATTTCTCAAGACAAGAAAATATACCTGAATCAAGAAAAAAAAGTTTACTTCGATCAAGAAAAAAAAATTGGAAGACAATTTGTTATTTGATTCAAGTAAATCGTTTTTTCACTGTGCATAGAGGAAAACTTATAGTAATTATTAGTGAAAAAAATATGTATAAGTATCTTAATTTCAATGCTAATATCGGATGTTCATAATGATTCGAATATATTTTATAAAGCGTTTAGCAACTGTTCATTAATAGACATTAAAGTATTTACTATTGGGTTAGCAACTTAGTAATTGCTGATTTTTTTTTAAATCAAAGACAATTTTTTCATGGAACTAAATAATTTTATTCTGTTATGTATTGCCCATTTTGATCAATGACCTTTTGCCATCTTTCAGGCAGCATCATAATCTTACGTTCATAAAACTTCTGGATTTTATTAGCAAAAAACTGAATCAGGTACGATTTGACATCATCATCATTATTGAAATTTTTACCATTCAAGAAGTTTTGTAAAGATCGAAACAAAAAGTAATCCGATGGTGCAGGGTCAGGACTATATGGTGGATGAGGCAAAACATCTCAACCAAGCTCCTTTATAATCCCACCAAAGTGATAACAAAACCCTCTATTGATGAATACCAGCTTTTGATGTTGTTCGAGCTGGTTCGCCTGGCCTGCTCCACCATCTTTTCCGCTCGATATTGTTGTAAACAATCCATTTTTCATCGCCAGTTATCATTCGTTTTAAAAATGGATAATATTCATTACGTTTCTTTAGCAAATCGCAGCTGTTAATGCGATGCGGTAAATGCGTTTCTTTCAGTTCTTGAGGGACCCATGTATCGAGTTATTGAACATATCCAACTTGTTTTAAGTAATTTTCAATGCATGTATGTGATACTTGAAGCTTCTCTGCAATCTCATGTGTTGTACTGTGACGATCCGAATCGGTTATTGCTTTGATTAGGTCGTCATCAACTTCAAATCGACGACCACAGCGTTTTTCATCTTTGAGTGAAAAATCACCAGAACGAAATTTGGCAAACCAATTTTGACACTGCCGTTCTTTTATGGCTTCGTCGCCATAAACAGCACATAGCTTTTTGTGAGCTTGCGATGCGTTTTTCCCTTTACGAAAATAAAAAAGCAAAATATGACGAACATGTTCCTTTTGATCCATTTTTTAACGAACGCCAAACGAAAACTGCGCAACCGACCAAAAAACTTTTTTTTACTGATTGACAGCTGAAGGGCCAACTATCAAATAACAAAATGTGTTTTACATTTGGACTACGCCTGCAAACCTTAAAATTCAACTAAAGCCATCTATGAGTGAAGCCCGCAATTACTTTTTTTAAATTTTTGTTAAAGACTTTAGTTCCTGCAAAATTTTTATAATTTGTCTTCTCTGTGTGTTAATTTTTTTTTATTCCGAAAATCGAAATAAAAAATTTTCGACCAAAATTTGCCGCCCCTTAAAATTTGCCGCTACAGCCTACTCAGCCTGCTGATAAATCCGCCGCTGTTGAAAAGCTTCAAGATCCAACGTTTTCGAGCCAAATTTTGTTCAGCGATGAGGCCCATTTCTGGTTCAATAAATACAAGTATGTAAACAAGCAAATTTCACTGTAAAACACAACGTTTGGTATGGTTTTATGGAATCATCGGCCCATTCCTTCAAAAATGATGCCGGTAAGAACGTAACCGTCAATGGCAACCGTTATCGCCCCATGATAACCGCCAATTTGATGCCTGAGATTGAAGCTCGTGATCTCGGCGGCATTTGGTTTCAACAAGACGGCACCACCAAGATCGTGCGATATCACACCGATAGACTTTTTCCTGTGGTGATATGTAAAGTCTGAAGTCCATGCGAACAATTCCGCTTTGATTCGCTCCCTTGGAGCAAAACATTACGCGTGTAATTCGCCATTTACCAGTCGAAATACTCAAACGAGTCATCGAAAATTAGACTCAAGGGATGGACAATCTGAGACAACACGGCCAACATTTGAAAGAGATAATCTTCAAAAAATAAATGCCAAAGAATGTTCTTTCGAATGGTAATAAACCTTCTTCATTAAATTTGAATTTTCTGTGGTTCTTTATATAATATGAAAAATTAATGAACCTCGAATCGGATCACCCTTTATAATAGAAAATGTGTGGGGACTATTATCGCGCAAGGTCCATGAAGGGGGCGGACAATTTGACTACAAACAAACATTAGTAGAGGCAATTAAATTGCCTTGGACAAAAATTTCATTACTGAAAATTTTTTTAGCTCACCACCCAACCGTCTATTTGAACTTATTTCACCCATTATTAAACTTAAAGTTTAACTTTTATTTACTTTAATCTTTTGTACGATGAACCTATTCAGATTACCGAAAAAATCCTTAATTTTGTTATTCTTTCGGAAAAAAAATATATATGGAATAAATAAATAGTTTATGAAAATCATACTTTTATATCTAATTAATATTAGATTTAAGAAATATAGAAAAAAATTTCATGTAAATCGGAATATTGGTTAAGAATTTACTATCAAATTAGTACAACAATGATCATGAAGCTATTCAGTTGGTAGGCAATATACTACATAATATTGGTGTAAATATTTACTCACAGTAAAATAAATTTCATAGGGCTGCGATTTTTGGACGTAGAGGAAGAAATTTTCGTTACGGCGTACTTCCAGAAGACATAATTATACATAAAATCAGTGTTACAGAGTTTCTCTAAATATTTTTAATATACGAGTAAGTTAATACATCAGTTGGGTGTGGTCCTATGTCGGTTGCTAACAGAAGAGAATTGTCTACTTCTCTTGCTTTTTAAAACTCACCTGTAATCCTGGGATCAAGAAAAGCTGGATTGCTTTATACATACATACATATACTCATATAACACGTTTAATATGGAAACTCAGCGGAAACTGAATAGGTTCGGATCTCTTATACGTATAATTAAATTTAAAATGTTATGTTGAAAGTCAATTGGTTTCTGCTAAGGTGGTTAAGCTGGTATATCTGCACTTTCTGTAAAAGTTTATATGTCAAGGATATGGTTGCATTTTAAGGGTAATAATGTCTCTCCGCAGTAGTTGCAACATATATATGTTAAGATGATGAATAAATTACTTACCATAAATTTATGGTTTTGACTTTGGTCCTTGGCCTATACGCAATGATTTATTCAGCGGTATTTATTTTGTTATGAGCTCTAACGTACCTAGTTTCTTGAAAACGCTACTCCGGTATACATTGAATATATTAGAACAACTTTCGTCAGATAAGCTTTGTAGTTGGAAAAATGCGGAATCTAAATTTGCTATTTAGCTTTTGGACGAGATATGCATTTCATTGAATTGATATGGTAGACAAGGTCTGCGCTATAAGGTGGGTGAGGCAAAATTTCCCAGCCGTTGTTTTCCAAATAGTATTTAGCTGGTCTGCAACATAAGGCCGAGCAATGTCATGATGGATAATTGTTGTCTTGTGTCTGGTCGCAAATTCTGACCGAATTTTCGCCAATCGCTCTTTTCAGTTTGATGAGTTGTTGTCTGTAGCGTGCCCATCAATGGTTTCACCCGGTTTTAGAAGCTTATAATACAACACGTTCTTCTAATCTCACCAAATACAGAGCTTTATCTTGGTGTCATGAATATTCGGCTTTGCTCGTGAATGGCTAATTGGCCAGGTTGCCCATATGATTTGTTGCGTTCAATCAGCATTTCTGCAAAGTTGTCTTTCAACATCTCCTGGGTTCAAGTCATATCGCACCCAATTTCCTTGCTTTTGAATGTATCTGGCTGCTTTTAAACGGTTTGAAATGGTTGCTTGAGTGACTCGCAAAAATTGGCAAGTACGCAATCAGCCGTAGGAATAGATGTATTAGAGGTGCCAAAAAATTGTCAGAAGGCGCAGATTGTATTGAGCATGTTCTGTTCAAATGTAGAAAAGGAAGACTTAAAATTAGCGAAATAGTATTATTTGTTTTACTTGTTCTTATTTTGAAATAACAAAAAGTATGAAACATAATTGTAAGGTGACAGAAAAGCATTTTTGGAAAGGAAAATTTTTACTTCTAGTTCAACGTTCGAAAATTTTTAGAAAATCATGAAACTTTGACAGTATTTTAGTTAAGGTTTGTACTTTAAGACAAGGATAAAGATTTTTGAAGTGAATACTTCTTT